TGGAGATGCCTGACCATAGTTCCCTTCCAGAAAGACAACATCTTGTGAATATAATCTATCCAGAAGCTGCATGAGGCTATGGGGCAGGGAGCAGCAAGAGTTGCTGTATGAGCCTAAGTGATGGGTAAAGAAACTGTAGAAATAAAGCTACGACCCTGAACTCTATCCCCAGCATGATGCATGCCTATCTAGCAGGACCTAATAGTACAGATAAACTACTAATGTGTTTTATGACCTAATGTCATTATAAATATAATTAATGATCTCCTTTTCAGATATACCATCTCATGAATGTAATAAATCAAGTAGATACATATGCAGCCTCTCAAATCCAGCCCTTAAGGACAGAAAATGGTAGAGCCCTTGCCAAGTATGAGCAAGCCTTTGGGTTCCATCCCTAGCACCACAAGAAAACACAGTTGTCAAAATCAGCCCTTCTTGTGCACATTAGGATCTGTGTTGAAGTCTTAAGAGATAGGACATCTTCCCAATGCCACAGAACAATTCTGAGATTTTGAATGGTCCAAATAAAAGCATGCTCACCTATGCATGGGGTCATCCTCAGGGGTCACTCTTAGGTTCCACAGTTCCATGATGATAGGCTTGATTTCCTTGAGAAACCGTTTGTTGGGTTCTTGTTCATTTGTTGGTGGGAGAAATGGTATGACTCTTGTGCCCAGCAGAACATTCAGAAAATCTGTACAAGCATCTTATTGAGAGATGTACTCATTGAGAAACAAAACTTCCAAGTCCCAGAAGCAGCCTTCAAATAAACATGGAGGCCTCTTAGTCAGCCTAGAGAAGGCTGGAGTCAAAGCACAGAAAAACATGTGGGTCTGATATGTTTATTGTATGCCTATGCAAGCTTTATGTTTAGAGCAGGATTAGGTACAGAGAAATATTGAACAGAAAGGATAGATTGCCCAGCCCACAGCAGCTGTCTACGATGGACCTATGTCCACACATCATTTTCACCAGTATACTCTCCACCATTTCAGTATCATGAGTAGTTTCACAGCCCTACAAACCTAGTTTTCTTATTTTTTTTCATTGAGCTCTGAATTGTGAGCTCTCTCACCCCCAACTCGTGTTTAAGTATTTGAAGGCATTTTAGATAGCTATATTAGTCAGCTGCTCTATCAAAAACCCTGAAGTGCTGTATCTTTGAGTCCTTGGCCAGTTGTTGACAGTGAAACGGTTCCTATTTTATGATCAGTGTGTTAACGGTTTCCACAATAGTTTTCAAGGGTCAGAAGACCCTGCTGCAGTCACTGTTAAGACAGTATCACTTGATAGCTTGGGATGGCCTTGAAGGCATGATCCTTGTCTCAACTTCCTGATTGCTAGGATTCTAAATGTGCACTACCATGTCTGGCCAAAGTTTAAGAAATCCTTAGGGGCTGAGAAAGTGGCTTAGTGTTAGAGTGCTTGCCTAGCATGCACGAAGCCCTGGGTTTGACTCCTCAGTACCACAGAAACAGAAAAAGCTGTAAGTGGTGCTGTGGCTCAGGTGGTAGATTGCTAGCCTTGAGAAAAAGAAGCCCAGGGACAGTGTCTGGGCCCTGAGTTCAAGCTCCAGGACTGGCAAAAAAAAGAAAAAGAAAAAAAGAAAAGGAAGGAAGGAAGGAAATCTCTAGCTCCTCTAGTTTAGAACTATTCTATTTATCAAATCATGTGTTGATTTGATAACCACTCACATTTAAGTCTGATCTGTTTCAAGTCTCTTTGTAGTATTAAGTCGCAATCCTATTTCATAGAACCATCTCTAAGCTGCTTATCTTTTGCCTTGATTTATATGTCCTTCAGCTTTTTAGCACTGTGTCTTATCCATTCAAGCAAAGTTTGTGTTTTAAAAGAATGAGAGGGGCTGGGAAGGTGGCTCAGTGGTAGAGCACTTGCCTTGCATACATGAAGCCCTGGGTTCAGTTCCTCAGCACCACATAAGCAGAAAAAGACAGAAGTGGCGCTGTGGCTCAAGTGGTAGAGCACTAGCCTTGAGCTGAAGAGCTGAGGGACAGTGCCCAGGCCCAGAGTTCAGGCTCAAGACCAATTTAAAAAAAAAAAAAAAAAGGAGGAAGAATGATGGGAGTCTAGCAGAAGTGTGGCTTGCCATCCCCAGATAGACACTAGGGAGCATGTCTTTTCTTAGACTTGAAAGTGCTGTGTATAGGCCACAAAAGCAGAACTTAGGCAAGGAATTGACTCCAAACTTGTTTTCTCACCTGAAAATGAGCCCACACCAGCTCTGAGGTCTGTTACAAGACTGACTGAAGCATTGCATAGCAAAGTCATGGATATGTAGTTTTTCCTCTTTGGCCAAACTTCCCATCCATAATGTCTCTTCTCTATTTTCCCTCAGGCTCCTTGAAGGCCTTCATTCTCCTGTGCATCTGTATGTCAGAGCTGTCAAGCCCTATCATCCCAGACAAAACCCACACTAACCACAGTTCATTAATATATATGGGACTTGGCTCCAGTTACGTTTGATTGGCTAAAATTTGTAGACATTTCATTTTCTTTTCCCAGTGAGCCAGGCACAGTAGTTCATGCCCGTATTCTTGGTACTTGGAAGACTGAAGTAGGAAGATCATTTGGAGTCTAGGCTATTCTACATAGCAAGTTCCAGGTGAATTTGGACTATCTAGTGAGACTGTCAAAAAATAACAACAAAAAACAAATTATCCATTGCATTTTTTCATATTCTGAAGCATTTTTGAAAGTTTCTGCAAATGCTCCATGTTCTGCTTATGGCACTTATTGAAATGGTTGGCCTGCTCTATCTGTGGATATCATTTAGCTTTTCTGTGGAGATACTGACCATGAGACATATCCCTCAAGGCTCTCATCTTATTGGTGGAGACTACTGGACATTTGGCTTGGCCTCTTCTTTTCTAATGGCCCTGTGTGCAGCCACAGCACCAAGGATCTACCTGTTGGCTTTTCTACAATCAAATGCTCTGAAGATCTCCAACTGCACTCAATTGTGCATTCAAGTGTGCCACATGGCTGAGCATATTTAAGCATGTCCAAGGGTAATTGCAGAAGTGGCATGAAAAAGCACATAATTGGAAAAAAGAACTGACCTCTGGTGGCAGCTCCATGTTTAGCTGCTTCATCCTGAAACTATCACTCTTCAATCTTGAAAGAATAGTTTCCAGAGAAACAGAACTAACCGGTGGGGTTGGGGGTGGTATGTGGGCATGTGTCATGAAGAACTGGGTCACAAGATAATGGAGCTGGAGAGGACCGTTTCCTGTTGCAGAGGCTCAGGAATGCCAGTGGCATGGTTCCAGTTCAAAACCAAAAGGCCTGAGACCAGTGCAGCCACTCATGTCCCAGACTACGTCCAATGCCAGAAGACCAGAAGCAGCTCAAGGAAGTTGTTAGGCTAGGCCCCTCAAGGCTCAGATAACTTGCAACAGGTATATGTGCATGAGGGGAGCTTTATTCAGAGCCCATTAGGGTTTCCCTGGGTTGTGGTCTGGCTTTTGTGAGTTTATTGAAGAGTCTCATGGACTTTTCCTTCCCAGGCCGGCTTCGAACCATGATCCTCAGATCTCAGCCTCCTGAGTAGCTAGGATATAGGCAGGAGCCACCAGTGCCCAGCCTGGGTATTGTCCCTGACCTTCTTTTGCTCAAGAGCACTTGAACCACAATACTTCTGGATTTTGTGAGTAGTTTATTGGAGATAAGAGTCTCACTACTTTCCTGCCCAGGCTGGCTTCAAACCGTGATCCTCAGACCTCAGCTTCCGGAGTAGCTAGGCTTACAGGTGTGAGCCACTAGCACCCGACTACATCAGCCTTCTAAGTTCTAGGTCTTTTCTAGAACGCATGGGATAGAGTCCTTGTCATCTAGTGGTAGAGAAAACACATCTGCCAGGCTCCACTAGGGGTAACTCAAAATGTTCTGGACAATATTGAGACGGCAGGGAACAGTCTGGATAGGTGAACTTTAAGGGTAGATATGAGTAATGTATTTAAGGTAGAAAGCAGGTATGGTTAGAGAAGCAGAAGACAGGCCTGGGCTTTGACAGGAGACTACAGGTATAATTAAAAGGCCTCTGAAGACCCTGAGGGCTTGGGTCAAGTGTGACAATGAGATCCTGGCTCCTGTGTGAAGTGGCAACCAAAGGAAGACCTTGGGAAAGGTGCCGATATGTCAGGTGAGGGAAAAGTGCAGAGCACTGACTGATACATGTGGGAAACAGAGTGAGCAGTGATGTTATAGCTCTGAAAGTTCCCCTGCCACAGAGAAATGGGCCACAGCACAGCAAGGTGACTAAGGAGGAGGCTGGGCCTTCTGAGAACAATTGAGCCTTGCCCTCAATCACTGGATGCGCTGCCAAGTGTGAAATCCTGAGCAGGTGACTCACCCAGCCTATATGTCCACCTCCGTAACAGGCTAGCCAGCCAGTGTGTCAAAGCCCAGCATCTGGCACACGCTGCAAGAAATACTCATGTCACTATTTCTGATGATAGCCTACTCTGGCAAGGCTAAGGATTACCACAAAATAAACATTTCTGTCTAACTGATGCAGAAGATTCAATGCATGTGAGTGACAGTCTGAGCGTGAAAATAACATGCCTGTGAATCCTCCTGAGTTTACAGGTGGGGATATGGTGCTATATCCAAAGAACTTCTGTATGCTCAATTCAGAAAGGAATAAAAAGTTCCACAGTCTTATAGTGCTCATGAGAATCAAGGACACGAGCGCTGGGTAGACAAACTTTAATGGAGTGGACAGTCAGCTTTAATGGAGTGGCATGGTCTCCTCTCAGAGGAGAGACAGATAAAGTTAGAGAAAGATGGGAAGTGAAACCCGAAAGCCATCAGAACCAAAGCGCAATCCTCAGCAGCTGCCACGCCAGCTAACTGCATGACATTACCAAGGCATCCTGAACAGCTGGGTCTTCACCCCGAACGGGGACCACTTGACCTTGCCTTCCAAAAGCCCCAGACCATCATACAGGAAGAAGGCACACGTGGGTATGAGCACCTTTAAATGTTTCACATTGTTTTATTATTTTAGAAAATGTGTAACAAAAATACATGGAACTGAAATATGAATTACAGTACAGTGGGCAATTATGAACCTAAATAAGACAAGTCTATGAAGTCTAACCCTTCTTGTGGGAGCAGAACATTCCATTCTGCTAGGAAAGAATCACAACATGATTAGGCACGATTATCTCATACTGCCCCACTGTTCTAACCTCAGAGACTGCAGACTTGAGGAGAGGGATTAAAAATAAATAAAACTCAACACAAGCCCATCCATCAGTTCCCCTCTTCCCCTCCCATTGTCTTCATCTGCAGAGGGGAAAGCCGTGAGGTGGAGCCTGTGAGGCAGCTTCAGGTTCTGCTAACTGGTAGACACGTGGGTGCCCTGAGGTGGCTCATAAATACACTGTGAAATGACCACTCCATGCAGCAGCAGAGATGCAACCGGAGAGGAAGGGTACAGAAAGGAGCTATAAGAACCACCGGCAGGAGGTCCGATTTCCACAGAATGTGTTTGCAGCCCAACTTACGGCTGAAATAACCATAGCCAGCACACTTGTACACAAGTACCTGAGGAGTAAACTCCTCCTTGTCCAAATACAAGGTGAAATCTATACACACTTGTGCCAAATTTTTATCATCTCCAACAGAAAAAGAGAAAACCACTCGGTTTTAAATGAAAATCCTTCACATCCACCTGTGTTCAAAAATAATAATTTATGGTATTAACATCCTTAAAGCAATTACCACAAAAGATTTAAATCACTAAGCATGGAAAGACCTACTTTTTGATGAATGTAGTTCTTAGCAAGAGATAGAAAGATATGCACCGCAACAAAAAATAAAGCCACAGTATTTTGTGATTTTAGTTGAAAGCTAAACCCACCAAACAAAACAAAAAGTTTTAAGCCAAGTGTTTCCATTGCGAATGATCTCAGCTCACTTAACTCAATGCACGAGACACTACATCGAGTGAGACAGTTGCTGTTTTCCCCTCTGGCTCTATGATGTCTGACTGTAGGAATGCTGACACTAGGAGCTGCAGGACAGACGACAGACCGCTCTGAGTGGGCTGACTGAACCCCGCTTCCCTTCCTCAACAGAATTTGGTAGTAACAATCAGTGACGCTGCAATGGGGGTGAATTTGCTGAGTCATTCAGTTTCACCTGTCTAGACATAACTTTTAAAGGAGACAATGTGAACCAGTCAGAAAAATGGAAGCATACACTGTTAGTCATCCAGCATCCTCTTTCACAGACAAGCCTACTCAACCAAACACTGTATTTGGATATTGTAGTTGTGACTTGCTTTATGACAAAAATTGATTGCTATTTCCTTTCATCTCTAGAATCATTAACCCCCTGGAGAAAAGAGAAACATATAATCAACATTCACTAGCTTGAAAATGAGAGTAAGAAAACCTATGAAGAAAAGGCCATGCTGAACTGAGTCGGCAGCTGGTCCATCACTGCCCACCCCTTGGGCTTGAGGCTGGTGACTTCATGGACGCATCCCTCTGATGCACTGCCGAGAGTCAGCTTGAGTCCGTTACGGTGACCCCAGTGTGACGCTGCTTGCCTTCCACTCACCACCTCCTGCCCGGAAACCCCAGGCCTCAGGAGCCAGTACATGCAGCACCCTGCACAAGTGCCAAGAGACTTTCTGAAGACTTCACCTTGGATGTGGGCAAGGATACAAGTCAGTGGTTTGCAGTTTTGGCAAGAGCATCTACACTGGGGCTTAACCTCAGCAGCCGGTCTGGAGGATGTTTCCCCCAGAGCGTTTGGTCACGGACAACGTTGTGAATATCTGTGAGGAAGAGAAAGAAGGCACAGCACTGTCAGACCCCTGGGTAAACAAGGTGACAGGTAATACCACACACTAAAAATGATTTCGGTGACCATTTTTTTTTGGGAGGGGGGAGTCGAGGGGTGGTCCTGGGGCTTGAACTGAGGGGCCTAGGTACTCTACCACTTGAGCCACAGCACCATTTTGGACTTTTTCTGTTTATATAGTACTGAGGAATTGAACCCAAGGCTTCATGCATGCTAGGCAAGCACTCTACCACTAAACCACATTCACAGCCCCTCGGTAACCACTTTTAAATGAACAAAACAGGGTAACATGACCAAGGATGTCCTCTTGGATGTTATAGGCCAGGTCAAAGGAAGAAACAGGTTCTAGTTAATGAAGAAGGCAGTTTGCAGGGGATAAACAAAACCAATGTTACCAAAGTTGCCTGGCAGCTCTAAGAGAAATTCATGATAAAATAGCAGGATTGATGAGACGGTACAAAGTATCCTGTTTCAGATGAAGCCATATGCCCAGTCAGTTCAGCAGCTTTATAACAAACATAGAGCCCACAGTATACCTCTTCCCTCTATGTCCACACTTGATCATTTTTGTGCATTTCTCTGGCTACCTCCACACTCTGCAGCCTGGGAACCTTCATGTTTCATACAACTCCTCTGCAGCCCTTTAGGATGGTCTCACCTAACCTTTCCCAGTCCTTTCTAGTCCCTCTCTCTTCCCTTATTATGTATTCAAGATTCAATCAAAAGGCTCCCACCTGAATGACCTTACTAACCTTAATGCCTTTGATAAACACCATAGCCAGACTGATCATCTCAGAGTGGGGATTAAACTTCCACACGTGAAACATTAAACCACATCTAAATCCTAGCTGTTTATCCTGACACAATCTTCGGACTCCACTTGTCCTGCCCAGACAGTCCTTCCTGAGTGAAGGGCCAGGGCTTATCTGAGACCTCTTGGCACATCTGAACAAACTTTTTGGCCCCCTCTCAAAAAAAAAAAAAGAAAAGAAAAGAAAAGAAAGAGAGAGAGAGAGAGAGAGAGAGAGAGAGAGAGAGAGAGAGAGAGAGAGAGAGAGAGAGAGAGAGAGAGAGAAAAGAGAGAAAGAAAAGAAAGGAAAGAAGGAAGAAAAGAGAAAAAGAAGACCCAAGCAGTAGGTGCAGGTACTCACAGAGGCCAAGTCCTGGCAAGGCACCCCTCCACCTCTGTACCAGCCACACAAGGCCCTCCCTTCAGACTAAAATCCTGTTAACTGTTACAAGAAACTGAAACTAGATATGCACTACTAATATTCATTTTAAAATATTTTCTTATTTATCTTTTATTATCTGTAAGTACTTGTATAAAAGGGTTTTAGTTCAACATGCCAATTTACATCCCAAACAATCTTTTCAAATGTTCTCTCCTCTTGAGCTATTGTTTTTCTCCCCTACAAGCAGACTTGATTAGTTGAAATTACTCCTCAAAGTACACTGTAATCAGTGTCCTATTCATTGACTGCAGCCTCCAAATCCAGAATAAAATGCTACCAGCTGTCTCACCCCGAGTAAAGTTTGGCATTGCTGCCAACTACTCAATGAGTTAGAACCCAACACCTTAGCATAGAACACAGATTCCCTAAGACGACCCTAACAACTGAAATTGTTTAAGAAGCTTGAAAAATATTTCATATAAGTTTCATGAAACCCTTTGTTTTTGTTTTCATTCTGGTTCCCAAAACAAGTAGAATTCATAGCCAGGGATAAAGAGTAAAAACTAAACCCTCCAGAGCAGAGCAATATATATCCATATTCTTCCTCCTTCATTAATAAACATTGTAATGATGATTTTGCATCTTCTATAAAGTACTCCAGAAAAAACAAGTGACACATTCACCTATTGCTTACATATCAAATGCCTGACACGAAGCATTTCCAGTCAACTGTATGTTGGGTATTATGTCCACCTTAATTTGGAAACACTGTGAGACTGACCAGGTCTCACTGAGATGCATTGCTAAGTGAAAAGATAACTCAGGTCTGTCATCTAATACCTAAATTTTCTTTTTCTCACTGTGGTAGGTTGGAGTGTGGTCCCCTAAAATATATCCTAACCCCCAGACCTATGAATATGATCCTACTTGGAAACATCTTTGCAGGTATAATGAAGATAAAATGAGACCCTGTTGGATTAGAGTGGTCCTTAATCTAATGTCTGTTGTCCTTATAAGAAGGAAAGCTGAACAATGATCATAGAAGGAAATACAGCCAAACAATGATGGAGGGAGGCTGACCTATTGGAAGGAGGCACCTACAAGCATAGGAATACCATAGATCCAGTAAACAGAAGCTAGAAGAGGCAAGAAAGGATCCTGACTCTTCCCTTGAATTTTTTTTTTTTTTTTTGGTCAGTCGTGGGGCTTGAACTCTGGGCCTGGGCACTGTCCCTGCGCTCTTCAGCTCAAGGCCAGCGCTCTACCGCTTGAGCCACAGCGCCACTTCCAGTTTTCTGGTGGTTTATTGGAGATAAGAGTCTCAGACTTTCCTGCCCGGGCTGGCTTTGAACCGCAATCCTCAGATCTCAGCTTCCTGAGTAGCTAGGATTACAGGCGTGAGCCACCGGTGCCCAGTTCACTGAATTTTTTTGAGGGATCAAGAACCTACTTACATTTGGTTCCAGATTTCTAACCTTCTGGTCTATGAGAGAATGCATTTCTATTGTTTCAAGCAAAGTAGTTCTGGTGCTTTGTTTAACAGTATTAGGAAACTAACTCACTCAAAAAAGCAGTTAATTGGCTCCTTCTCTACACCAAAAGCCTTGAGACATTACACTGAATAAAGATATATTAACCATTCTTTCAGAGCATTCATCTACACTCAGCAGTTTTTTTTCCTATTTTTTGAAGTTTTTCTTTTACAAAAATAGCAGATTTCTATCATGCTCCAATCATACTCTCTAACATGCTTCCTTATAGAAACAACTAATATTGTATGTTTCCAACCAGGTGAGATGCACACTCAAGAGCTGGACATCATTCCTAATCAAGAGAAGACAAAGCAAGAGGAAACTAGAATACTTTTCATATCCTTTCAAAGCTGGACTTTCACGTATTCAGTTGTGCATGTGTCCAGGAACAGAACTTAACCAGTTACCAGATGAAATCACCAGCTGCCAATGAAATCTGGAATGAATGCATGTACACGAGCACATGTATGCACACACTGGATGGAAAACACTGGTTACACCAGACAAACAAGAGCTGTGATTATAAACTCTACACTTGAGCAGATAGCTCCCACATAAACCCACTGCTCCCCAACTATACATCCTGGATAGCCAGCATCACAGTGATCAACCCCTGTATGATCAGATACTGGAGAAACACTGACACCCAGAGGCCTACATTGGTCAACTTCCAACTCCACTGTCATTTGCTTGTTTTTTTTTAGCATCACTTTCCAACATCATTCTTTTTTAGAACAGAAGTTTAAAAGGCAGATATCATTCAGCCTCAAAATATCTCTGGGCAGTTAAAAATTTCTAGATTTAAATGGCATTATTAACTAATTGTCATGAAAATAGTTTAGAAGAGAAATAAAAGATTTAAGAGTCATCTCTATGAACCTCTCATGAACTCTTTACTTTTTATAACTTGGACTTGAAATAGCTGAAGAAGGAAAGCTCATTTTTAGGGTTAAGCTTCTCAATGACTATCAAGTGGTCAGGGGACACAAAAGTAGCTTCCGCAGCAGAACTACAGCACCAGAGCTGGTAAATGGTAGATTACTCACCTCTGCACAGACAGGGTGGATTCCAATTGTGCTGTCCAGTTGTGCTTTGGTCAGCCCACACTTGAGTGCAGCTGCAAAGCCCTGGGTCACTTCTCCAGCGTTTGGACCCAGGATATGAAAGCCTACAACACGTTCCTACAACATAAAATAAGATACTATACGTAAGTTTGTTTTTTCTTCTCCTTTCATCACATCTCTACAGCCTGGATTACTTCCTCAGCTTATTCCAAAAATCATGCATCTCAGATATGGCCAGACATATTTAAGCTAAAGACCCTCACATGGGCCAGAGGGCTTCAAGTGACAACAAAGAAAAAAGCTCAAAGTAAAAATGTCTGCAGTTCCTTATCCATCCAACTATTCCAGGAAACATGGTGAGAGGGGCAAATGTGCTATCCTGAGCTGGGCATCAGTGGTGGGGAAGAAAGGCCATGAGACTCTTTATCTCCAATAAACCACTTAGAAAACTGGAAGTGGCGCTGTGGTTCAAGTGGTAGAGCACTAGCCTTGAGCTGAAGAGCTGAGGGACAGCGCCCACGCCCCGAGTTCAAGCCCCACGACTGACCAAAAAAAAAAAAAAATGCCCTCCTGTCCTCTACATGTTTTTTATCAATGGTAACTGTGAGGCTTATGAGCAGTTACTCACTAAACATCATTTAACTAATGTTCTAAAAACTGAACAGAAATCAGACTAATAAGACTCTACTAATACAAAAACAATCTTGCAAGCAAAAGGAAGATACCTGCCAATTCTAAAACCCCTATGTGGCAATTATTTTGGATAAATTCTAAGTCCCAAACTCAGGTGACCTCTACAAAGGCAGAGAAAGGCAGAGTAGTCTATAGTTCAGCTGACAGATTTCTAGAGTAACTCTGTGTCTGATTTCTTAACAGAGCAGGCAACTCAAGCTGTAGCTATAGGACCTGCCCAAGGTACACTAGCTTCCTGCAAACAATGAGAAAGGAACCTCTGCTGCCCAAGTTCTGTGATATAGTCTATGCTGAACAACCACGAGATGTAGGTTGCACGTAAAGGTGAACTGCTATAAGACACTTAAAATACACTAAATTTACATGTTATGTTGTGGGAAAAAAAATCTCAAAACATAATGAAATCCAAATGCTAGGTGTTATATCTATTTACTGAGGATAATGCTCTAAATTAAGCCACAGAACACTATATAGTGTTTATGCATAAGTCCACAGCAAACAAAAAGTAAGACCAGAGATGTGTTCCACCTTTGGGAGTGAAGGAATATAAAAAGCCACACCAGGGGGAATCGCAGTCACTAGCATGGAATCTACATTGCTATGCAGCCTGGAATAGAACTGAGTTCTGCTATAATAAAGCTAATGGCACATTCCTAATATGATCATGTAACATATGCTGTAGTGCTTAGTAAACAGTCCATTACAATAGCTCAAAGAAACTATAGTAAACCTACAAAGATACTGCTGATACAATAAGTATTAATGAGCCCTTGAAGTAGTGTCTGGTAAACAGCCAAGTGCTCTTATCTCATGATAAGCACTGCAAAATGTTAAAGGTCATTGAATCTGGTATTGATACCGTCTATTGGTAGTTTCCCTGTCTTTATGTATATTTTAAATATTTTATGTTAAGAAAAAGAATAGCACAGAGGAATAAAAGCTAGAGGACAAACACGTACTATTTCAAAAAAAGGACATTCAGACACCTTGAAGTCAAGTAACTAACACAAAATGAACTGCAAATGCGCAAGGACAGTCAAAGCTTCTAGAAGCATGCTTCTACATTAAACAAAAACAACAATGACAAGTATATAACTTCTCAATTACTATCTTCATCTATGAAAGTAACTCAAAAGTCCATGCCTGCAGCTATTTTATGTAAGACATGTCTCTTGGTAGAGAATGTTACTTGAGATTTTATACAATTGGTAGCGAATATTACTTGAGATTTCATATAAGCAATGCCATCTGAACAAGCTCAAATATACTTCTTACTGTATGGCAGCAATCCCAATATTCAGAAACCCCTGATTTCTTCAATCCCTGCTATGGATATGGAAACAAATCTGCAAGATGAAGGAGTATGCCCACAGGCTCAGCTACAGGGGCTGTATTTAATAGCAGATAACAAAAATCTCAAATCAGAAATCAACAAAGAGCTCCTCCCCCTTCCAGTTTTCTCTTTGGTGCTAGTTCTGAGGGTAAACTTGAAATATTCCTATTCTTTTCTGCTTTATATTATTTCCTATAAGTCAGCAACTTCACTGCTCATTTGAATATAGAAGGTTCAAGTTGTCCCTTGGGTCTTCACTCCAATCGTGTCCATACTGGGAAAACCAGCATGGAAAGACAAAGTAATACCCCACGTACCTATGTATTACAATCAAAGTTGAGCCAGTAGCAAAAACTACATGAAACTACTAGAAGATTAAATGGTACTTACACTGTCTTTAAGATTGCAGATTACTTTTGCATAACACCTATTGTTATCTCTTGATGGAAGTGTCCATTCCAATGGCCAAAAGAAACTATGGTAAACCTGAGAAGATAAAAGCACAATTTATTCTTTATCTTCAATAGCTTATCATCAAACTCTAGATATGCTAAATAACAGTATATATTCTTTAATAATCACATTTCATAAAACAATATAATACATAGAATAAACAAGATCTGGAAAAAAGTAAATAACTCAAAACTCTTTATAGTCAGGTATTTGTTTCTATAAGGCACCTTTCAGTTACGTCTCGAGTAAACCCGAATAACAAAAAGAAAACACAAATGAAAGAAACCATAAAATTACTATCCTGTTCTAAAAACTAACACAAAAACCTCAATACTGTCTTGTTCCTTAAAATCCCCTTGTTCAATGGCATATTAAAAAGTAAAGGGGAATTCAACTTACTCTCAAATAGGGTAAGGACTAGTGGGAGGAGGTTGTGCTGGCAGAGAGGATAAAGGAGGAGAGGAGGATGAATACTGTCAAAATAGATTATTTGCAACTCTGAACACAAAACAAGGAAACCTGCTGAAGATGCTATGAGTGGGAGGAGGGAGAGGACATGGGACAGTAGTGAGACTGATTAGAACATTGTTAACACCTGTGGAGAAGTAACAATGAAATCCCTCCTGTATAACTAATATAAGCCAATGTAAAAACACATAAACAAGCCAGGCACAGGTGGCTCAAGCCTGAGATCTGAGGGTTGTGGTTCAAAGCCAGCAGGGGCAGGAAAGTCTGTGAGACAGAAAATTGGAAGTGGTACTGTAGCTCAAAGTGGTAAAGCTAGTACTAGCCTTGAGCAAAAGATTTCAGGGGCAATGCCCAGGCCCTGAGTTCAAGCCCCCCAACCAACAACCACCACCAACAAAAAATTAAAAATTAAAAAAAATACATAAAGAAAATATGAAAAATATGCAAAATAAATAGATGAATCTAAATGATGGTAATAAGTTCTTAGTTATTTTTCAACTTTTCTTGTATGTGCCCATAACTTAAGGCCTGGGTACTGTCCCTAAGCTTTTTACTGCTTGAGACACAGCTCCACTTCTGGCTTTTTTTGTTTTTTTTGGAGGAGGAGGGAAGTGATTACTTGGAGATTAACTGGCACCTGGCTATTTTTCAACTTTTCCTGTATACATTAAAAGTCTGAAAGAAGGCAGGCACTGATGGCTCATACCTATAATCCTAGCTACTCAGGAGGTTGAGATCTGAGGATCATAGTTCAAAGCCAGCCCAGAAAGGAAAGTTCCTGTGACTCTTACCTCCATTTAACCAAAGTCAGAAATTGAGCCGTGGCTCAATTGCTAGAGTGCTAGTCTTGAGCAAACAAACTCATGGACGGTGCCTAGACCCTAAGTTCTAAAGCCTAGGGCTGGCACGCACGCATGCACACTCACATGGCACATGCACAAAGTCTGGAGGGGAAAATAAAAGCAGTAACCTAATACAGGAGAAGAAAAAAAGAATACTTACTTCAATATTTTCTTCCCCAAATTTCTCTATAGCTTTCTCTTCAGAAAGCCCACAAGAGCCATATTCCAAAGGAGTGAAAACAGTTGTTGGAACATTTTCATAGTCACACTGAAATGAAGGAAAAAACTTACTAGAAAAAATTATAACTTACTAAAAAAAAAAGTTGTACTTCAAACAGTTCAATATTGGGAAAGACTTAGAAATTCCTACTGAAAGCAAGCAAAGTTCTAATCCCACACATTAGTTTGTTCACAGAGAATCATTTGCTTATGTGAAAAGTAGAGATTTGAAGAAAAAATTCATGTTATTTTTCTGTTCATCTACCAATTATTGATACAAACAATGATCATGCTTTTTCATCTTACTAAAGAAGCCAAAAACATACTGACAATCTCAATTACCAGTGACAAAAACAGAAGTCTTTGGAAGCTCAACTAGGTAATATGAAGAATCCCATAAAAGCACTTTACATCATTGGCTCAATAATCCAGAGATTACTTTAAAAGTAAGGCTTTAAAATCATAATTTAACAAAATAAACTGCAGCAAACAGGTACTTGAAAGGGGTTAGGTGGGGTCAAGCGGAGGTGGGGGTAGACAAAGAGAAAAAAGGGGAGAATGCAGCCAAAAATTCAATGTATATCCTACATAAGAAAAGTGAGGAAAGGAATGGGTTGGGAGGGATTGGTAAGAATGTTGACAGAGGTGACACTGATCAAGACACATTATATTTGTTAGGTTTTTAAAAAGAGGTAGCCAAGTAAGAACAGCACAAAGCACGTGGTATTCAGGTAAGGGGTAGGTTTATTCATCGTTCTGGCTGGCACCAGGCCATCTTGGCCCTCCACCCTCCACGGGGAGGGTGGGGGGAGGCCTGGGAAAGAGCTGGGAAAGAGCTGAGAAATAGCTGGGAGAGAGCGAGAGAGCTGGGAAAGAGATAGAAAAGAGCTAGGAAAGAGCTGAGAAAGAGTGTCTGGGCATGGGCTAGGCCTTATCTAGAGTATGGGCGGAGAAAGGTGTGGCCACATCAAATTCAGATGTGACCTCAGCAGATGCAGATGTGACCTCTTCCAGGTGTGTCAGTTGCCTAGGTAACGCAGGTACTGGGCAGAGACTTTGCTGCGAGGAGGGTGGAGTCTGCTTGCCATCCAGGAGCGGACCTTACAATATTCATAAACTGTTTTATTGAATATAAACTCCTTTGCACAACTACTTCAGAATAATACAAGTATTTTTTAAATAATTCTTTAAAAAAAAATTTTTTTTGTTTTTTGTCCGCCATGGGGCTTGAACTTGAGGCCTGAGTTCCGTCCCTCAGATCTTCAGCTCAAGGCTAGCTGCCCAGGCTGGCTTTGAACCATGATCCTCAGATCTCAGCCTCTTGAGTAACTAGGATTACAAGTGTGAGCATCTGGCTAAAAAGATCATGCTAGTGGCTCATGACTATAATCCTAGGTACTAGCTAGTAGACTGAGCTCTGAGTATCACAGTTCAAAGCCTGCACAGGCACACAAATCTATGATTCTTTTATCTCTAACCAGCAAAGTTGGAAGTGCAGCTGTAGCTCAAGGGTAGAGTGACAACTTTGAGTGGAACAAGTTAAAGGAAGGTGCCTTGGGCCCTGAGTTCAAGCCTCAGTACTGGCATGTGCACACACATACACAAAGATCTCTTAAAAATCTGTAAGGTTGGGGCTGGGAAGGTGGCTCAGTGGTAGAGCACTTGCCTTGCATGCATGCATAAGGCCCTGGGTTCGATTCCTCAGCACCACATAAGCAAAAAGAAAAAAGCCGGAAGTGGCGCTGTGGCTCAAGTGGTAGAGCGCTAGCCTTGAGCTGAAGAGCTGAGGGGACAGCGCCCAGGCCCAGAGTTCAGGCCCCACAACTGGACCCCCCCCCCCCAAAAAAAAAAAATCTGTAAGGTTTTTATGCTATTACAGTAGCATTGTGTTACTGAAATTATATTACACTAAAAACAATTTAATATATTGACAAAACTCCATATATTGAGTTTTGCTTATGTATCATCAATAGTGGCAATGTGGGAGAGGTGTTAAAAAAATATCTCAATATTTGGGCAGTGGTTCTCCAATGCATACTCTCAATGGACTACTATGCAGCCATTTAAATGGCAGTGAAAAACACAGAAGCAAAAAGAATTAATGCTCATGATAGAAATTTGTGAAACATATTATATACGTAGGTAACAAAGGATGCTGACTCAGTGGGATTTATATGCTAGGTGAATCATGTACACAAGTTTCTCTCCTCTCCAATTTCAAGAAACTCTAAAATTCAGTGTAAACTGTAAAAAAAAATTTACTGTCAATGCCAAAGTACTATCAATGCCATTTGGTAAAAGCCTAGCAGCTACATCTGTATCTGGCATTGAGCTAAGTAAAATCTTGCATTAAAGATAGAAGAAACTGAATCATCAGTCTTTACAACAGTAGGGAAGGGTGACCTACTAGAAAATTTTATAATTCTTCTTTTCTAAAAAGAACACTGCTTAGAGTTCTCTAACTCAAAAGTAAAGGCAGACATCCATTTATAGCCATAATAATGTATCACCAACCAATAATACACCAATGTTCTCTTGCTTTAAATTAGAAAACCAGAAAAAGGTGAAGGAATTTTTTTAAACACTGAACAACAGGTGGCACAGATCTGTAACCCTTTAAAAAGAAGGACAAAACAAAAGTGACCAATGCTGGCTCCAGCTCACTGCCCAGAGGTGGTGCAAGAAGTGTAGCTCCAACAAAGCCAAGAAGTCTTCCCTATTTAGGCAGACAGAGATCACAGTTCAGAGAGCTCCTGGATCTGCAGAGATCTTCTGAGATTATAAATGACACATGGGAGGAATGCCCAAAAGGCAATGAAAAGAAACACTGATTTTCTCCTTAGAAATTTGTGCTATATAGGATGAATGACTGATGAAGGTGCCATCTCTTGCATCATCACCCCATAGTTATTGCTGGTTCAGAAAAAACCTTCAGGAAACCACAAACTCTTTACTGAATAACAAACTAAATGAATTTCAAACTCTATTTCTAAATGTACTTCCTTGTTTTACCAGACACTCAGTAACTACTACAATGAATACAAGATGTACTCAAGGAAGTAGCTTCATTAATTTTATTCCAAACAGGAAAATGTATATTCCAAACAGGAATATGAACATGGGCTGCACATTCAGCTACTCTGCTACTCAAAGCCCTCTACTCAAGTCTGTTCTTTTTAAATTGTAAGATTTTATTACAATACAATCCAAAATAACTTCCAATTATTAGCATCATTCTGTGAGATTTTATTATTATAGGCAACTGAAAGAAGCCCACAATGATACATGCTCAAGGAAAATGTGTAATAAGTACAGTTTGTGTTTCTAGAACACTTTCAAGAACAATTAGGGTGTATTTAGTCTTTTGTAGCCTACCTATTTTATGCAACATAATGAAGAGTTTCAATTTCTTACAGTGACTTTAAAATAACCACTTTCAATTAACATAGGCTACATTCAACATTCCAAGAGCAAAAGACATTTCTTACAAAGAACAGGGGAAAAACATGCCCAAACAAGCTTAAACCCCCTTACCTAAATTATACCCAAGCTTTTAATAGCTCATAAAGGGTCCAAGAAAGCTTTTGAAAATTGTACTTACAGTGGTAGCAATGAAACCTACTACCCACACATGGAAGTGTGACAAAATTAAAAACGTCATGTAACAAACCTAGCAATGCACTGTTTGAAATACAAGCTGAGAGACTCAATCAGGATATTATCACCAAGATAATCATATTACCCAACACATGGAAAACCTTCTCAGCTGCCCCTTCAGCGGAGCTAGAAGATTACTGAAGAGTAACTCAGTGGGTGATATCAGCACTCACCTTCACAGTGGAGCCAGCATAAAGCCTTTGAGCCAGCAATCTGCCTGCCTGGATAGCCACTGGTGTGAGCTCCAGCTTTCCCTCCAATATATCACCAATGGCATAGATGTAAGGCACGTTGGTCTGCTCTTCATCTGTGACTGGAATTTTTCCAGTCCTGAAAATTCAGTCAGTTAAAACTCATCAGTTGGGGGAGGGACATACAAAGCAACAAAGAAATGGGGGGGGACGGAAGAGGGTTGGGTGGGGGTGCGGGGGGAGGATAGGATGGGAAGGGGAAACAAAGGAGGAGGCTACAATGCTTAATGAGAAATGTACTCATTGTCTTGCCCATGTAATTGTAACCCCTCTGTACAGTATTTTTACAATAAAAATAAATAAATAAAACTCATCAGTTATCACTATGAATTGAACAGAACGAAATTCCCTTCCTTCCCTAAAATCACCAAACTGACTCCATCTGAGCACAATATTCGAAAGTACTAAACACAAAATGAAACAGCTCAGAGGAACCATTATGTGTAGTGACAACCTGGCCACCTCAAAGAAATAAGAAAACAATGATAAACCTTGAATTATGCTAGTTAAGAGTAAAAATTCCAAGTTTCAATAGTCACCAGAACAAAACCAGGAAACACTAACATGAGTGTTTTCTAAACCCAAAAAAGAGAATATTGACAGGCTTTGGTGGTTCACACCTGTAATCCTAGCTACTAGCCTGTAATCCGTAATCTCTGGAGGCTGAGGAGCATGGTTTGAAGCCAACTTGGGCAGAAATGTCTGTAAGACTCTTATCTCCAATTAACCATCAAAAAGCTGGAAGTAGAGCTGTGGCTCAAGTAATAAGAGTGCTAGTCTTGAAGGGGGAAAAAAAAACTAATTCAAGGACAGGGCCCAGGCTCTGAGTTTAAGCCCCAAACCTGCACCCTCCTCCTCATCCAAAAAAAAAAAAAAACAAACTAAAATTATCATTGTTCAATCTGTATCTGGAACAGTACAAAATATGGTAATATTTTTCTTACTTTTCATTTATCTTCACTCCCACGGTTTCTAAGCCAATATTTCTTGTACAAGAGTCTCTTCCTATTGCCAACAACACCTGAAAAAATAATATACTACTGATTACTAACAAAAACTGTTACATGGAATTCTTTATATTTTTATTATTATCTAAGTTCATCTTCCATAAATGAGAAAAAGTATCAGGTCCAGTGGCTAACACCTGTGATTGAGCTATTTGAGAAGCAGAGCTAGGATTTTAGTCTAGGCAAAACCTCATATTACTTAATAAGCCAGGTGTAGAGGCTTATTATACCTATGATACCAGCCATCTGGTGACTTTAAGTAGGAAGATCATGGTCCAATGCTGTCCTGGGCAAAAATGACATGATATAGCAGGAATCCTGTCCCATTTCTTAATTTAAAAAATAAATAGGGCTGGGAAGGTGGCTCAGTGGTATAGCGCTTGCCTTGCATGCATAAGGCCCTGGGTTCGATTCCTCAGCACCACATAAGCAAAAAGAAAAAAGCTGGAAGTGGCTCTGTGGCTCAAGTGGTAGAGTGCTAGCCTTGAGCTGAAGAGCTGAGGGACAGCACCCAGGCCCAGAGTTCAGGCCCCACGACCAGACCCAAAAAGAAAAAAAAAAAAAAAGAAAAAAGAAAAAATAAATAAATACATGTCTAAATAAACCTAGACAAGCTTGTTAACAAAGACAACAGAATCTGTGAATGAATTAACTTTTCTTCTAAATGGTAGGAGAGGAGATGAAAGGGAAGAACATGGGACAGGAACATTCCAGCTCACTCAAAACTTCTACTGCTTTTTAATGGCCATTCTTGTAGACAAACTTAGTTTAAGTTACAGTAGAGACAATATGAAGCCATTTGGTTCCAAACAAATTATAATATCAGAGTAATCCAGATGTCTTCAAATGGGCATGGTAGCCCTACAATATAGAAATAGCAGTCATTCCTAGTATACAATTAAGCATGTCTGTCATCTGTTTTCTGATGAAATACTGAGTTGAGCCTATTCCTTACCGTATTGTACTCTCCCTCAATGGTCTCTTCACTGTTAGTGGACTTAGCTATTACCCGGAGTCGTCCTGGTGTTCCTGCTTCAATTTGCTCAATCTGTAAAGAGATAGTTTTGCTCTGAAATAAATACAACTATCAAGAAGGAAAAATGTACCTTCCCCTTCTATCCTTCTATCTGGTTAACCTAAAGTTGAAACAGAAAATGTAGCCTAAAACATTTACCAGGCACCACTGGTTCACACCTCTTACCCTAGATACTCAGAAGGTGGAGATGTGAGGACCACAGTTTGAAGCCAGCCTGGGCTGGAAATTTTTCTTTTTGTTTGTCAGCCATGGGGCCTGAACTCAGGGCCTGGGTGCTGTCATTGAGCTCTTTCACTCAAGGATAGCGCTCTACCACTTTGAGCCACAATACAACTTCTGGTTTTCTGGTGGTTAATTGGAGATAAAGAGATTCCTAGCCTTTCCAGCCTGAGATGGCTTTGAACTACAATCCTTAGATCTCAACCTCCTGAGAAGATAGGATTGCAGGCAAGAGCCACCATTGTCCAGCATTATGAGACTCTCTTATTTCTAATTAACTTTCTCTTCTATCCCTCTTACCTGTTATCTGCAGAGAGCCCTTTTACTATGTCACTTGACAATACAACATAAACTCTATAACCCAGTTAACAGAAATCAGACCCCATGAGCACTCCAGCCCAACAGTTTTTTCAAGGACCCACATTATATATTATACTAAAATACCTTGTATGTTATATATTACATGTAAAATGTTACGTTTCTGTCAGTATTCAAATACAGTTATCTCCTAGTCACAATGTAAGCATAGCATCTACACCTCTAGTCCCTAAAAACAGCTACAATTATCCAAGTTCAGGTAACTCCCAGGAAATCTGAAATTTGATCCTCATAACAATATGAGATGGATTCACTGTAGACTTAAGTGGCTGCTAATGTAATCCTCAAAAGAACTCTTGAGACTCTTCCTCACTTCACTGAGGCTTTGAGGTTAAATATGTCTTAAGTCACATGGTAAGAAATTAGGTTATTATGAACCCAAAGCTCACATCTATCAGTGAGACTTATGGTCATGGGAAGCACTCAAAGGAAAAACAAATAACTAAATCTCTAAACTTTAATAGTCAGTCCCACCTTTACCTGCACTAAAGGAAACTTTCTGAGACATACTAAGTAATAAATTTTGTTAATCTTATGTGCTATGTTAACAGACTCAGATTGTTACTATATATATTTCAGACCCATTGAAATGAAAGTTAAATGAGCAAAACAGGCAGCCCACCTAACAAAATGTGATAATTGTTTTTAGGAAGTCCAAAATAGGGAGCATCTGCTGACTACATCATATTCCCAGGGGAAACATTTAATGGGAAAAAAAATTTTTTTCAGGCATCTTAAAAGTCTTATAATGTCTAGTATATATTAGGAAAGAAAAAACAACAGACAAGCAAATTAATGGTAAAGAACCAAAGGAAGAAAAGAACTACTAATCTACAAATAAGAGCAAAGCTATTCAGGCAGCAGGCAAGTACAAGTTGATGTGTATTTGATAGCTAAGGAATCACAGCATTCCTGAGAGTTTGTAATATTCAAAGGATGCCCTCATCACTAATCTCAACTCTCTTTTTGCCTTTTATAGGAGTTTGGAAACAACGACCCCTAGATAGTCCTACTTACTTTAGTTGGTACAAACTGTTTTATAAACTTGATACCATGTTCTTCCATGTGTTCACCAATTTTATTGGCCATATCTTGGTCAAATCCTCTCAGAAGAATGGACCGTACCATCACAGTAACATTCAAACCAATACCAGCAAGGAATCCAGCACATTCCAAAGCAACATAGGATGCTCCAACCACCAGGGTCTTACCCGGGCAGTAGGATAAGGAGAAAAGATCATCACTGAAAAAAATTCAAGGGAGGAAATGTTTATATAATGAATAATGACTAAAGTAAGTAGTTTTACATTCATAGATAAGAAATTTTTATTATAAACATTTAATTAGCTACATATGTAAAATACAAGTTTCTATAAGGTCTTAGATACCTTCATTCTCTTTCTTGTCACTTAGTAGCTTTGAAAATAGCTCATGCTGCCACAGACCAAGTACAGCAAACTGTAACTTCTGATACTAGATGAATCTAGCCATACAAAATAATTTTGAACTGCCTGGAATACAATATACATTTGCACACCTAAATCACACTCCCAATCCTTCATCCTACCACTCAGCTTCTTTCCAAGGTAGAAAACTCACGTTACTTCTCACCTAGAATAACCATTATTAGGAGTAGAAAGAATGGTTGGAAAAAACTTCAAAATCTTATTTTTGTACTATTTAAAAAATTAAAAGTACTGAATACAAAAAGGGAGCCTGCTATGATCTAAATGCTTTTTCTGTTGTTGCTGTTTTTGGTTTTATTTTTTTGTCAGTCATGGGGCTTGAACTCTGGGCCTGGGCACTGTTTCTCAGCTCTTCAGCTCAAGGCAAGGGATCTACCACTTGAGCCACAGCGCCACTTCTTGATCTGAATGTTTATGGCCCTGTCCTCACCAAAATTTCTGTGCTGAAATCCTAGTCCCCAAGTGTAGTATTGAGAGGTGATTAGGTCATACAGGTGGTGCTCTCGTGGATGAGATTAGTGTCATATAAAAGAGACCACAGATACTAGCCAACAGAATCCACAAACATACAAAAAAAAAATCATATATTATGACCAAGTAGGCGTCATCCTATACAAGCAAGGCTGGTTTGGCATACACAAATCAGTAAATGTAATTCACCGTGTCAACAGAGCCAAAGATGAGAACCACATGATGATCTCCAGAGATGCAGAAAAGGCCTTCAACAAAATACAGTATCTATTTATGTTAAAAGCTTTGGAGAAGCTAGGAATAGAAGGAATATTCCTTGAAACAATGAAGGCTATACCCGACAAACCAATAGTCATCATACTGAATAGGGAAAAACTAAAACCATTTCCCTAAAATCAGGAACAAGGCAAGTATGTCCACTTTCTCCAGTCCTCTTCAATATAGTTTTAGAATTCCTAGCCAGAGCAATAGGCAAGAAAAAGATGTAAAAGGGATTCACATAGGGAAAGAAGAAATCAAACTATCCCTATTCACAGGTGATATAATCTTATACCTAAAGGACCCAAAAAACTCCGTCCCCATGCTCCTAGAGCTCATGAACCACTTTGGCAAAGTAGCAGGATACAATATTAACCCTCAAAAATCAGTAGCCTTTCTGTATGCCAATGATGTACAAGCAGAAAGGGAAACCATGAAAACAACTCCATTTGCAATAGCCTCAAAACACACACACACACACACACACACACACACACACACACGCACGCACGCACGCACGCACGCACGCACGCACACACGAACACACACACACACACACCAAAAAAAACCACCCTGGGAATTAACCTCACCAAAGACATAAAAGATCTTTATAGCAAAAACTATAAAAATCTGAAAAAAGAAATCAAAGAGGACACAAATGGAAAAACCTTCAATGTTCATGGATAAGTAGAATCAATATTGTGAAAATGGCCATATTGCCAAAAATGATATACAAACTCAATGCAATCCCCACCAAAATCTCAATGACATTCTTTACCAAGATAGAGAAAACAATCCAAAATTTCATATGGAATAACAAAAGACCTAGAATAGCCAAAGCAATTCTAGGCAAAAGAAGCAATGTGGGTGGTACCACAATAACAGACCTCAAACTCTATTACAGAGCTATAATAACAAAAATAGCTTGGTATTGGCACAAAAAGACCTGAAGATCAATGGAATAGGTTAGAAGATCCAGAAATAAAACTATACACTTGTCTAATATTTGATAGGAAGCCAAAGACATACAGTGGTAAAAAAAAAAAAAAAAAAAAAAAGGTCTCTTGAATAATTTGTGTTTGGAAAACTGGGCATGGATATGCTGAAAACTAAAAGTGAATCCCTGCTTATCACCATGCAGCAATATCAATTGAAAGTGCATCAAAGACCTCAACATCAGACCTGAAACCTTGAACTACTGCAAGAGATAGTAGAAGAAACATTATAGAACTTATAGGCAGAAACTTCTTGACAAGAGTCCCAGAGAGACAGGAGAGACTTAACAAGTGGGACAACATCAAAATAAGAAGTTTCTGCACCGCTAAGGACATAGTTACTAAACTAGAAAGACAGTAAACAAACTAGGAAAAGAGCTTTCCCAATAATGTGTCAGACAAAGGCCTATATCCAATATATACAAGGAGCTCAAGAAACTAATCCCTCCCAAACCTGATAAACCAATCTCTGGAGAGGTAAGAAGAAATTTCTTAGAAGAAGAAGTAAAAACGGCAAAGAAACACATCTATCCCTGGTCAGAAAGGAAATGCTAATCAAAACAACTCTAAGACTCCATCTTAACCCAGTAAGATTGGCTAACATTGTGAATAATTTGAAGAAACAAATGTTGGCAGGCATGTGAGGAAAAGGAACCCTACTGCACTGTCCAGTGGGAATGTAAACGATACAACCACTCTGGACAACAGTCTGAGATTGCTCAAAAAACTAAAGATAGGCTTCCAGCCATACCACTCCTGGGCATCTAACATCATGATTCAGGATATGTTAAGAATCCCTGCACATCCATGTTCATTGCTGTACTATTCACAATAGCCAAGATATGGAAACAGCCCAGATGCCCCAAAATAGATAGGTAGATCCAAAAAATATGGAACCTATACACAATGGAATTTTACACAGCCATTAGAAAGAATAATGTCATCTGCAAGGAAATGAATGGAATCAGTACAAATCATATTAAGTGAGGTAAGTTAAGTTCATAGTCCAACAGCACATGTTCTCTCTGATATGCAGAAATCAGCTCTAAAATGCATTAGGAAATAACAAATTATACAGGATTCTAGCCACTCAACAGTAAGACCAAGAGAATAATCTTAGGAGAGAAACACAAAAAGCACAAGGCCTAAGTGCTCTTCATATTTACACAAAATTATATACATTCTGAAATTAGCTCCAAGATATGGAAAAAGAGACTTCTTTCCCTGACTTCCCCCCCCCCCTTTTATTAGTTTTTAAGTTTTTGATGATTCTGTCTTCTTTACTTTATGTATGGTATATTCACATGTATATCATGGGGGGAGGGCAGGGGGGTAAGAGTACAGAACTTAAGGGGAAAATGGCGAAAAAGTGCAGCAGTAGAGCTCACTGGACACTGATAAAAGTGAGCTAAAAAACTGATGGGTGGAGCCAGGCACTGGTGGCTCATGCCTGTAATCCTAGCTATACAGGAGGCTGAGATCTGAGGCTTGTAGTTCAAAGCCAGCCCAAGCAGGAAAGTCCATGAGACTCTTATTTCCAATTAACCACCAGAAAACTGGAAGTAGCATTGTGGCTCGAGTGGTAGAGCCCTCACCTTGACTCTGGGACCATGCCCAGGCCCAGAGTTCAAGCCCCATGACCAACAAATAAATAAAATAAAAATGATGAGTACAGACGGGAGGTAGTAGAAAAAGGGAACAGAAGACACTGTACAAAAGGAAATGTACTCATTGCCTAACCATGTAATTGTAATCCTTCTGTATATCACCTTTATGATAACAAATTTTTTTTTAAAAAGGACCACAGAAAATGCCTTCACTTCTGCTACCACTTGAGGACATAGCAACAATGAGCCAACCAGAAAATCGGCCCTCAGCAGACTCCAAATCTGAAAATGCCTTCATCTTGACCTTGCCAGTTTCAAAGAAGAGAAAACAATTTCTCTCATTTATAAGTTATCTAGTTTAAGGTATTTTGTTACAGCAACCCAAATACACTAACACAGCAATGACAACAGCTGACATCAGGGATGCTCCTCAATGAAGCACAAAGGATAAAATTATACTATCAAAAGAGGGAGCCTAATGAAGAACAGTAAGTCAGAAACTCAGGAGCAAAAGGTATCCAAAAAGGCCTATTTACCAATAATCTGTTGAGACAACTTCACACTTTCAAACTCTTAAACAACACCAGCAGTATTATCACTATAAGCAAAACCAAATCACACAGCAAAACCTCCTTGCCTGACCTATGGACTTCAGAAGGTCCCTCTAAGGAAGACTACAATCACTGAATAGTTAAAAGGGACTCCAAAGCCTCATAAGTCTAATGAACTGACATCCCCTAATTCTTTGCAACCACCAAAGAGCAATATGGTTCATACTGCAAAACTAAGTATATGGTACACATGTACCACACTCTTCTGATTCTTATATACTTATGTACCCACATATATATAAATCTCAAATATAAATATAAACATGTATTTACATACAAAATGTTTGAATTAATTTAAATTGCCATAGTAGAGAACCAATATTTGTAGCTTTGGATTTTTAAAATGTTCTTTTATTCTCCTTTTTCTCTTTCCTCCTATGCTCAAAGAGGGTAAAATGTGACTGTAGATTTTCTGAAGTCTAAAAAATGAATGAAAAAATGAATGAAAAGGATTTAAATAAAAAAGCAGAAGCAGAAGTCCACCCTGGGATTTCCTCTTCCTATTTCTCCTTACCTGCTGATGCAGTAATCTTTGTCACCAGGGATGCCCAAGTATCGTGGTCTTTCTCCAGTTGCAATGAGAAATCGCTCTGCTGTATAAATTTTTTCTTTGCCTCTATTATTTGTTGCCTATAAAGGAAACAATAAGTCATTTCTAATAATGTAAATTATCCTTTGGAAATGTAAACTTCATAGTTAGTAAAGGTTGTTCACCAGTGTCTCATCTGATCCTCATAAAAATTTGATAACTCACTTATGGCTCATGTCTACAATCCTATCTACTCAAGAAGGCTGATATAAGGACTAAAGTTCAAAGCTAGCCCTGGCAAGAAAGTCTAAGACTCTCATTTCCAATTGACCAGTAAAAAGTCAGAAGTAAAGCTCTGGCTCAAGTGGCAGAGTACTAGCCTTGAGTAGTAAAACTTAGGGATAGCACCCAGGATGAGTTCAAATCCCCAACTGGTAGAACAACAGTAACAAAAATTGATAACTCAAACTGGGAACTGATGGCTTATGCCTACAATACTCAGGAGGCTTACACAGGAAAATCGAAGTTCAAAGCCAGCCTGGACAAACAAATCCTTGATATTCTTATTTCCAGTAAAAAGCTAGAAGTAAAGGTGTGGCTTAAATGGTAGTGCCCCAACCTTGGACAAAAAAGTGGGAGCTCAAGGACCAGAATAAGTTCATGACTCAGTGAGAGAAAGAGAGAGATACAGACAGAGAGAGAGAGACAGACAGAGAGAGAGAGAGAGAAGGAAGGAAGGAAGGAAGGGAGGGAGGGAGGGAGGGAGGGAGGGAGGGAGAGAGGGAGGGAGGGAAGGAGGGAAAAGAAAGAGAAAGAGAAAGAAAGAATAAATAGGAGGAGGAGAAGGGAGGGAAGGAAGAAAGGGGAGGGAGAGAGGAAGGGAAGGAAAGGGGGAAGAAGGGAGGGAAAAAGAAAAAAATGGTAACTCATAAGAAAGAGACATTAAGGCTGGGTAATCAATGAACTCATTCAAGGTTAAAATGCTAATAAGTAACAGAGTCAAACCTCAAATGCAGGCAATCTGGTCCATGTGCTCACCTCATTCCAGAGGCCACATAATCATCAAACTGGCCAGGAGCCAATGGCTCACACCTGTTGTAATCCCGTTACTCAGGAAGCTAACATTTGAGGATCACAGTTCAAAGCTAGCCCAGGAAGCAAAGTCCGTGACACTGTAATATCCAATTAATCACCAGAAAACCACAAGTAGAGCTGTGGCTCAAAGTGGTAGAGAGCTAGCCTTGAGTGCAAAATCTTAGGGACAGCGCCTAGGCTCTGAGTTCAAGTCCCATGACTGACCAAAACAAAAAATCAAACTGGACAGCCTGGGTCACAGTACCATTAGATTTTATTGTAATACTTCACAATAATTTTTCCCCTACAATAACTTGTTTAAGTCTACAAAGGATGTAGGTGTTATAATTACCTTAATCCTATGAGGACCAACGAACTTCCCATAAGCATTCTCATAAGTTACTTTTTTCTCCCGGAGAGCTACTCTGTAGCCCCAGTTCAGAGAACCAATATGATTCTGTACAGCTTCTGTCATCTTTTCCCAGTCATGTTGAACTATGTAAGAAAGACAAAAAAATTAACTCTTCAACTGGTAAGTCTCTTAGTAACTAATCATATGGAATGAGGAGCACTGTAGAGAGCCTGGACCAGCCTGCCTTTCTGGCCTCTGTCTACCACCACTACAAAAAGAATAGACAAAAATGGAAGACCCACCTGCCAACTATAACTAGTGATCCAACTACAATAATCACCAATGTTTTACTAATTTGTGCTCACATACCTCTCTATTTTTTAAACAGAATAGAGTATTTTAAGTAAATCCAAGACATGTATCATTGGTCAGTGACTTAGGGATGCCCTTGTCATTTAATGTTAACTAATGTTCATTACCATTAGGAGCTATCAGCTCAAAGTACCAGTAACATCACCACCATGGAGAAATAATGAGCTAAAGCATGGGAAGAAACATCCCTGAAACTTCGCAATTGTAGCATTACTAAATACAGCACTGAAGTACTATTTTGCTAATTCCCTAGGGGATCTTATACCCTAAAATAAGACATGATTAAAATCACATAATAGTATCAATTATTTCAATGGCTGAAATTCAAATTCAAAGATTAGGTCTTCTTCTTAGGCTTAGTTTTATTTCCAAACTCCTCAAACCTTCTTCCCTATTGAGTTTTGACATCCTTCAACTTGTAGTGAGTGGACAGCCACTATCACTTCCATTGTCTACTATAATTATACTAGGACAGAAGGACTTAAAAGTCCTGGGAAATTCAAGGAGTTTCTATGAATTGCAATGTATAAACCTGGACTATGCTAAGTATTAGCTCTTTATTACCTTAGTCATTGTACCTTTATTAGTTCTGAACTGTAGAGGTTGGAAATAACTTTAAAGTGTCATAGCTATTTTTAATGTTATATGACATCTTCAGAATTATTTTGCTGGGAAAAAACTGCCATTATTAAGTTGTAGATCACCATCTATCTGACTGATTTATTAAAATTATACTTACCAGAGTATAAAAAGCTAAATGCAAAGCCCAAAGTGCAAGCCCTGATACCAGCACAAAAACAAAAAGTAAAACAAAAGAGCAGGTAACTTGATGGAATGAATAGGTTAAGAGAGATGAGAGAGAATGACAGAATGATGGAAGAGATGACACTTACCAAGATGCATAATTATACTCATAAACTAACATGTTAAAATTGAAATTCCTCTGCACAATTACTTAAGATATTTACATCTATGAATAAATATCTATACATAGATATACACTGTCTTCATAGATATAAATATCTATGATACCATAGATATAAATATCATAGATATAAATATCTAAATAGATATAGAAGATTTTCCCTCAAATGCCCCTCACACTACAAATCTCAAAATTACAGTTATAGACCAGGGCTGGAGTTTCACTATTCAAGGATTAGCGCAATTACATCACTAATTATACAAAACTGACTTTTATGAGTTGGAAAGTCATTGATTCTACCTTCAACTTATCTAGAGATTCTAGAGTGCCCTAAATATTTTTAATCCAACATGGTCCAAACACAGTCCTCTTTAACAAACAATGGCCCCCATCTCATCATGAAACCAACTTCTTTAGAGATAAAAAAGCAACACTTTCCAAAGAAAGCAAATGTAATCTGTACACCTTTCATGCTATGAACTCTTCATGTGTGATACATACCACTTAAGGATTCATTTGAAAGAATTCTGATTTACCATTTAGAAGTATCATATTCCACATGCATACTAGCCACCTATACTAATGTGAGCAACTGGGAGGACTAAGCAAGATCACAAGCCTGGGCTATACTGTGAGGCTCTCAAAATAAAGCAATACCATACTCCAAAAACATTATAACTATGTAAGTTACCTGACAAAGTAAGTGAAATAATTTTATCCATAAAAAAATGTCATCACATGATCTTGTATTTAAAGAATCCCATAGACTCCACTCCCAAATTACTCAAGCTGATTCAAAACTTTGGCAAAGTAGCAGGTTATAAAATTAACCCCCAAAAATCAATGGCTTTTCTGTATGCCAACAATGAGAAAAGTGTGGCTGAAATTAGGAAAGCAACTCCATTTGTAATAGCCCCACAAAAAATAAAATACCTAGGAATTAACTTAACTAAAGAAGTGAAGGACCTCTATGATGAAAACTTTAAAAGCTTGAAAAAGGAAATCAACACAGAACTTAAAAAATGGCAAAACCTCCCATGCTCCTGGATTGGAAAGATTAACATCGTGAAAATGGCAATACTTCCCAAGGCTATCTACAAATTCAACGCAATACCTATCAAAATTCCACCCTCATTCTTCAAGGAAATAGAAGAGGCAATCCAAAAATTCATATGGAACAATAAAAGACCCCGAATAGCAAAAACGCTCCTCAATGGAAAGAACACTGCTGGAGGAATATCAATACCAAATTTCAAACTCTACTATAAAGCCATAATAATCAAAACAGCTTGGTATTGGCATAAGAACAGACCTCAGGACCAATGGAATAGAATTGAAAACCCAGAAATGAACCTACAGACCTATAGCCATCTAATCTTCGATAAGGGAGCTAAAACAATAGAATGGAAGACAGACAGCCTCTTCAGTAAATGGTGCTGGCAAAACTGGTTAACTACATGTAGAAAACTAAAGCTAGATCCTTATATATCACCCTGCACCAGAATCAACTCCAAATGGATCAAAGACCTTGAACTCAAAGCAGACACTCTGAAAACATTACAGGATGGAATAGGAGAAACCCTGGGTCTCCTTGGCTCAGGCCGAAATTTTCTGAATAGAGACCCGGAAACACAACAAATCAAAGAAAGGTTGGACAAGTGGGATTGTATAAGGTTGCAGAGCTTCTGCAGGGCAAATGACATAGCTAGCAAGATCAATAGAAAGCCCACGGACTGGGAGAAGATCTTTACTAGCCATACAACGGACAAGGGTCTCATATCTAAAATATACTTGGAACTCAAAAAATTAAACCCCCCAACAACAAATCCTCAAAGAAACAACTGCCCAATAAGTAAGTGGGCGAAAGACTTAAAGAGAAACTTCTCTGAAGAAGAAAGAAGGATGGCCAATAGACACATGAAGAAATGTTCAACATCCCTAGCCATAAAAGAAATGCAAATCAAAACAACATTGAGATATCACCTCACTCCAGTTAGAATGGCAAAAATCAAGAACTCTAACAACAACAGATGCTGGAGGGGATGTGGACAGAAAGGAACCTTACTTCATTGTTGGTGGGAATGTAAACTTGTTCAACCACTTTGGAAAGCAGTATGGAGGTTCCTCAAAAGACTCCACATAGAGCTCCCCAATGACCCGGCAATCCCACTTTTGGGCATTTACCCAAATGATCACAAACAAGGCCACACTAAAGCTACCAGCACAACTATGTTTATTGCAGCATTATTTACCATAGCTAAGATATGGAACCAACCCAGATGCCCCTCAGTAGATGAATGGATCAAGAAGATGTGGTATATATACACAATGGAATTCTATGCCTCCATCAGAAAGGATGACATTTCCCCATTTGTTAGGAAATGGGAAGGCTTGGAAAAAATTATATTAAGTGAAGTAAGCCAGGCCCAAAGAAACATAGGTCCCATGGTTTCCCTTATTTGCAATATCTAGTATAGGTATGAGTCAAGCGGAAAAAGTCAGAGAATGTGATGTTAGGAAAATGAACCCTCAAATATGTATTTTAATGTTTTTGTTTCTTTCATGCATGTGTTTCTAACGCATTTATAAGATTATTTCTTTGTTGCTTTGTATGTCCCTCCCCCACAGTGTAACCCCCGCTTTCACTATATTTGATGTCAGTATAACATGTGGAGGAGACGGGGACAAACAAGTCGTTTAAGGATTCAGGTGGACCTGTTGCAACAATGAGAAGTACAAAATGTCATGTCAAAACCAGCTTTACAATGTCGGTGGGGGGGGGGGGGTATGATTGGGTGGGGGGAGGGGGGAGGCTGGGAAGGGAGGTGAAGGGTAAACAAAGGAGGAGGCTGCAATGCTTGGTAAGAAATGTATGCATTATCCTGCCCATGTAATTGTAACCCCTCTGTACAGTATGTTCTCAAATAAAATAAAATTAAATTAAAAAAAAAAAAATGTCATCAGGCCAGAGCCAGTTGCTTATCATGCATATAATCCTAGCTATCTGAGAGACTAAGATCAGAGGGATCACAGCTCAGGGCCAGCCTGAGCAAAAAAGTTTGTATGACTCCTTGCTTTGTAGCTGGGTGTAATAACATCCACCTGTTGAGATCAAGCTACTTAGGAAGCTAAGATTGGGAGGAAAGCAGTTCCAGGCCAGCCAGCATAGGAAAATCTGGGAGATTCCACTTCAATGGAAGAAAGATGGGTAGGTAGGGTGGAACAACCCAGCTATGGAGGAAAGCTCAAAATAGGTAGATCATATATTAGGCACATATGGGGCAGGGAAGTAAGACCCTATCTCAAAAATAATCCGTGCAAAAAAAGGGCTAAAGACATGCCTCATCAGTAAAGTACCTGCTTAACAAGTGTAAGGTCCTAAATTCAGACTACAGTATTGACAAGAAATAGAGACGGACAGAGAGAGAGAGAAAGAGAGACAGAGACAGAGACAGAGAGGGGGGAAGGGGGATAGATAGGGAGACAGAGAGAAGAGAGAAAGAGATGAAAAAGACATGAGAGAGAGAAGAAAGAGAAGAAAGGAGAGAGGAGGCAAGAGAACAAAACAAAGATATATACAATAAAAAGTTTTCCAGTTATTTGCTACCCTCATAAAAATAGAACATTGCAAGATAATGGCATAAGCCCCAAAACACAAAGAAAAGCTTTTCCTTCCATACCCGTGTCTTCAACTTTCCATCCATAGGTGCCTGAGTCTTTTAGGGCTTGCCCTAACAGAGCTGCTTGGTGCATCAATTTTTTAGGTATGCACCCCACATTGACACACGTTCCTCCAAGACCTGCAACAACATTGAGAAGTCAGCTTGTAACCTACTACAGGATTGCAAAGAAAAAGCCAACAAGTATAAGGAGTCTTATTTTTGTGTGCTTAATGTCTCCAATAAGTTTAGTCCTAAGTCTCATGACATTTCTAAGTTCAGAGAGCTTTATATATTGAACATAGCAACATCATCCTAAAAATAGAGAGGCAAATTTCCACATACTTCAAAGATTCAAAATTATATTGATAATGGTGCCAGAAAGTGAAACTTTACTGTGTACACAACTATTGCTGTTCAATGTGTGAATGAAACTGGTAAAAGGATTATATAAGCACTGGCCAACTGCAGGGGATCTGAAATTCTGCATCACACCTTGTGTTTATGCACATTTTAAATGAGGTAGCCCTACAGCTTTCATTTGATCCTCCTAAGGATCCATGTTTCATCTCCTCCTCTTTTCCCTTCCCCAGAAGGTATGATAGCTGTACACTTACAGAACATTATACTAGCTTATTTTTGTCAGTACAAAAGACAAGCAGATAGGAGAGGTAGCTAAAATGACAGGAGTCAGGGTACAAAGAGTGAAACTCATAGGACAAAGACATGTCCAGTGAGAATACTACTATGAAGTGCAAACTCCACAGGAAGAGGAATATATCTAGCACCAAGAATAGTGTCTGTCACAGAGTTGACACTTACTAAGTACTTGCTGAATGGATAAATTAAGAAAGTGTGATGTCTGATTTTGACTTCCTGCTGCTGGCCTCTCTTCTAAATCAGGCAGTTAAATGTTACTCTAGATATAATTTACCTATCCCTCTGCTCTCTGGCCTTAAGACTCCTCAATGACTTCTACCATGTGCTTGGATTAGTCCCAAGTCCTGGTCCTGGCCTACAGGATCCTTCACAGTTTGACTTGCCTTCCTTTCTAGTCCTGCTTCAGACTACTCTCTAAGTCCCCACAACCATAACCATAAAAGACTCATCTATCTCAGGGCCTTGGAATATACTACTCACTGAGAAAGAAAGAAAAGTTGTGTGGAGGTTCTGCTCCTGTGTTTGGCATAACTGGCTCATTCTTGATTTTTAGGTCTCTTCTAGATGCCAGTTCCCTTGCTTAATAAACTGCTCAGGTTAAAACTCTCCTTCAGTTCTTCTTTATTTCACTATGTAAAATTTTAAAGAATCACTCATCACATTTTGGGTAAGTTCTTGCTCATCTTTTGCCTCCACACTAGAATATAAGCTCCAAAAGAACAAAAACTTGTCTCATACTGTAGTCAATTGCTATTATCCTTATAGCCCTGGTTCATAAAGAATCAATAAATATTTGTTAAATTGATAACAATAAACACATAGTTCACCAAAATTCAAGTAGCAAGGCTATCCACTCAATTATCTGGTCCTAGTTAGTTCTCACTGACTGGAGGGGATAAGTTCAAAGTTTGGAGAGAAAAACTGGGAGAGAGCAAGAGAAGGGGGTGACATTGTCCAAAAAGAAATGTACTCTTTACTTAACTTATGGAACTGTAACCCCTCTATCACCTTTGTAATAACAATGTTTTAAAAAATATTTTAAGATTCAAAGTTTGCGCTATTAAGCCTCTTTTGGGGGGGGGAGGGAGGAGTCAGTTGTGGGCTTGACTCTAGGCCTGAGGCTGTACCTGAGCTCTTCAACTTAAGGCTAGCACTCTACCACTTGAGCGACAGCACCACTCCTGGCTTTTTCTGTTTATGTGGTGCTGAGGAATCAAACCCAGGGCCTCATACATGCAAGGCAAGCACTCTACCACTGAGCCACCTTCCCAGGCCTATTAGGCTTCTTAAGCATGATATGTGACACAATATTTAAGTTTTAGTCAGAGCTGTGGATAAGATTTCTACTACCCTGACTGTCCCAAAGAACCTAAACTTACAGCATTTAAGCCAAGTCCATTTTAACTTAGCTCAAGTGAAAGAAATACATGTTGGTATGAGGTCTTTTCTTTTCTAATTGGGTTTTCGGTGTCACTTCAGATCACTGTAAGAAAAATATATTTCTAAAAATCACTTTTAAAATGTTCTAGAGGCTTACCCCATCTAGTTCCAAGAGGAGTTGGAGTGACAAAATCCAAGACTAATACCTTCTTGTCATACTTGGCTGCCTCCTGGAAAATAAGATTATCAACAATAGATTGGAAATGAGCTTCTAAAACTTAATAGCTTTTATTATGCTATAATGCCTAAAGCATTATAATTACTAATTATAATTACCAATTACTAATACTTGGGAATTTCATATACTATGATGACCAGTTCAACTCTGAGGTAAAAAGTAAGGATAGTAAGATAGTTGTGATGGTAGTTTTAAAAATTATGCAGATGTTTGTATAACTATTACAAAGCTAGAAATCTTAGAATCCTACATAATTCCATGCAAACCATAACAGATCAAGCAGCAATCTAAAAATAAAACCCACAGCCATTTCCAAGCCAGAGTAGGTAGCTAGGAAAGCCTGTTTATTAGCTTTCAGCATTATCTCAACTTGATGTTGTAATGTAATGTCTTCAAAAGTATTTCTACATTTTACCTAATTAAGTTGCTAAGTCAGAATACTAGGAAAGCTTTTCTTCCAAAATTTTCCTAATATTTTTATCAGACGAGTCCATGAGATAGTTGACAGTATCTGGGATCTTTCTAAATGTATTTAGGGGGAGTGAAAGGAATTGGGTTCATTTTTCAGAGTTTCTCTATCTTTGTGGGAGAATAAACTCTGTGTACTGGCCACTTACCCTCAAGATTACCTGAGAGGACTGTCTGTGTACCCTTCAGACCACCATCACTAGAATAAAGTACATCAGTGCATCGCTCTCAGCAAAGCCCTGCTTCGTTTGAAATCCTGGCCTGCGCCTAATGTAGGCTGCTTCATGTGAACCCATCTTTACTGACCATAAGCTATAACTTAGGGGGCATAATCACTTAATCTTTAAAAACCTGTTGATAAGGATAACAGGCCTAAGGGTTCCTCAAAGGGGCAATGTATCTTGGGTTAGTTAGGAGCCTTAAACCTTGCCTATTTATACACCTTCTCAATCATGCCTAGGCCACAAAGTTACTACTCATCCTCTTAGATCTCCTCATATACAGCCAGCAAATCATTTTTGTTTTGTTTCTGTGTTTTAAAGCCAGTAGTGGGATTTAAACTCTGCATACAATCAACTGGTTATTTTGATCATGGCTGGAGCACTACACCACTTAAGCCACTCTCCAGTCCAGTTGTCATAGGGTTGGTCACAGGGCTTGAATTCAGGGCCTGGGTACTGTTCCTGAGCTTTTATGCTCAAGGTTAGTGTTCTACCACTATGAACCATAGCACCACTTCCAGTTTTCTAGTGATTAATTGGAGATAAGAGTATCACACGCTTTTCTGCCTTGGATGGCTTCTAACCAAGATCCTCAGATCGCAGTTCTCTGAATTGCTTAATTTTAAGCATATGCCACCAGCACCTAGTATCAGCAAATCTTTTTTGCGTGTATGTATGTGCCAGTAGTGGGGCTTGAACTCAGGGCCTAGGTGCTGTCTCTGAGCTTTTTTGCTCAAGGCTATCACTCTACCACTTGAGCCACAGGTCCAATTCTAACTTTTTGGAAGTTTTTTGGAGATAAAGAGTCTCAGGAACTTTCCTACTCAGGCTGGTTTCAAACTGCAATCCTCAGATTTAGGACTCCTGAGAAGCTAGGATTACAAACCTGAGCTACCAGCGCCCAGTGAGGCAAATCATTTTTAATAAGTTTGGGAAATTTAACAGCTCTTTATCTTTCTACTGGGGAAGAGAAGTTGTAAACAGGGAAATCAACAAAAATGAAAATATATCAAATACTAGTAAAGAATAAGATATATTTGCTTGGGGCTGGGAAGGTGGCTCAGTGGTATAGCACTTGTCTTGCATGCATGAGGCTCTGGGTTCGATTCCTCAGCACCACATAAGCAGAAAAAAAAAAGTCAGAAGTGGCAATGTGGCTCAAGTGGTAGAGCGCTAGCCTTGAGCTGAAGAGTTGAGGGACAGCGCCCAGGCCCAGAGTTCAGACCCCACGACCGGACCCAAAAAAAAAAAAGATATATTTGCTTCATTTCAAACAGTCCCCACACAACTTTATCATTAAAAAAAATCAAGCAAACTTAAAATGAATGAAAACGTGCCTCAAACCATTGGCCTTATACTTTATATTTAAATATACATAGACATATATATAAGTGATTTGTAAAGTGGTCCTCTAACATGTCCTGCCCAAGTTAATATTAACAAACTCAAGAATGGATCAAATAAACTCCTCAACGAACTGGGAGATCTGTGCCAGGCACATGAGTATTTTAACCATGATCAGACAAACCCACAACAGAAGGAGCCTTGCCTTAGCAGCTGCCAGTCCTCCAGATCCTCCTCCAATGATGATAAGATCATAGTCATAGGTCCCAGGGAGGTTTTTAGTGCTATTCATTTCTATCGGCTTTTGAAGTTGGCTTTCCTGATAAGCCTAAAGAATAAACAATGGCAGAGAAAATAATTTAGCTTAAAAGAAGCAATGCTACAAAAAGCTTTGGAAGAAAGCTTTCTGTAAAGAAAAGCAAAAACAATTTTCAAAGGCACAGGTTACTTTTCTGTTACAGTTCACAAACAGAAAGATCCCACCTCCCTTCAAGGGTTGACTAATACTTGTTTTCTTTTGGGTTATGACATTTGTAAAGCTTTCTATATCACTGCCACCACTTTGAAGCATTCATTTGGAACTTCTACATATAAACAGAAAGGGTCCTGACAAACCAACAAAATCAACTTAGATCTGAGTGAAGTTTGATTGTCAGCCTTTTATTCCTAGAATTACTTAAATATTTTTATTGTTTTATAAAGGTGGTGTACAGAGGGGTTACAGTTTTTGTAAGTCAGGTAACGAGTACATTTCTTTTTGGACAATGTCACACCTTCCTACACTCTTTCCCAGTTTTTCCCTCCTGTTATTCCTTGAATTTTCAAACTAAGTTTTAAATTAGGTTATTTTTCTCTCATTGAGGGGGAAAAAAATATTAACGTTTTTGTGTGTATGCTAGATTGAACTCAGGACCTTGCCTTCTCACTCAGCTTTTTCATTCCTAGCCTTCTTCCACTTGAGCCATGCCTCCACTTGCAGTTTTTTGCTAGTTAACTGAAGATAAGTCTAGCAAATTTGTCTGCTCAAGCTGGCTTTATACCTCAATCCTCAGATTTCAGCTTCCTGAGTAGCTAGGATTCTATGTTTGAGCTACCTGTGCCCATTAAAAACAAACAAAATAAAAGGCTTTTGCAAAGCATTTGCTTGGAGGTTTTTGTTTAGTTTGTTTCAACACTGGAGTCAAATATCGGGCCATGTGTATTCTATGTTAGTGTTCTACCAGAGTGGACCTCCAGCTCTGGCAAAATCTTTTAATCTTATGCTTTAAGTCTCCTACAGTGTCCATATACTTGGCATACCACAGGTTTTATAATTTAGATGTTAAATTTTAAAACTCCTTTTCATTACATTAGTTTTCAGACATTAATTATATTTCATATTACTTTGGAACAGTTTTGGTAATACTACCTTTTATTGAAATAAATACCAGTACTATCAAGAAATACTGACTAAAAAAAATTAACATGCATGTTAGAATGTTATTTAAAATAAACTTTTAACTTTGACAACTAAAAAGTCCCCAAACTTACCGGCCCAGACTGTACATTTTTCTCCTGCCTACAATCAGGTGTGGGGGATGAAAGGACGAACTTGGGGTCAGCAGAACTGGGTGCTTGAAGTATGGAAGGGGATGCCATGGAGGAATGTGGAAGAGGACGCACAGCCCTGTGGGTGCCCCTGGGCAGCATGCCAGATGCACATGGTGGCTCAGGGGCAGAAAGGAGAATACGTGGAAACCAGCGGCAGTGGGGACAAGTCTGCACCACCCTGATAGTCTGCACAAAAGGTCTAAGGTGAGAAACTGGTAAACACAGCCAGTGCTCATCAACTGGCATTATGGCTGAGGCTCCTTCTTCGATGCAGGGCACTGTGGGGAAAAAAAAGTTGGTAATAACAGCCCCTCTTTACTGGCATGCACAGATGGTGATAAACACTGGCTGTTGTAAAAGGAAAACTACCTGTTCTTGGAACTTCTCTCCCCAACAAAATATCTAGTAGAACTAGTGAAATCAAGCATATCCTCGTGCTAAAAAGCCACATGCTACTCCAATAAAGTTTATAATCTTTTCTCTTTTTCTTTTTTTTTTTTTTTTGGTCATTGTGAGGCTTAAACTCAGGACCTAGGCACTGTCCTTGAGCTACTGTGCTCAAGGCTAGCACTCTACCACTTTGAGCCACTTCTGGTTTTCTGGTAATTAATTGGAGGTAAGAGTCTCACAGACTTTCCTACTTGGACTAACTTCCAACCACAATCCTCAGATCTCCAGCTATAATCTATCCTTTGCTGAAATTCTGTATCTGATCTGAATTCTTACAGTTCAAACTTAAAGTAAAATTCTATCATCCAGTGCAAACTTTACTGGACAAAAAAAAATGGATGGTTAAGGAAAAATCAGTAAGATACAGACAATAGAAGCATTCAACTAATCCTAGAACCAAACATGTTTTTAACTTTTTAACTTTTAAAAACATTTTAACTTGATGGGGACTGGGAAGGTGGCTCAGTGGTAGAGTGCTTGCCAAGCATGCATGAGGTCCTGGGTTCAATTCCTCAGTACCACATACACAGAAAAAGCCAGAAGTGGCGCTGTGGCTCAAGTGGTAGCACGCTAGCCTTGAGCAAAAGAAGCTCAAGGGCAGTGCCCAGGCCTTGAGTTCAAGTCCTAGGACTGGCCAAAAAAAAAAAGCTTCATTGTTTTAGCTGGGAGCCAGTGGCTCACGCCTATAATCCTAGCTACTCAGGAGGCTGACATCTGAGGATAGCAGTTCAAAGCCAGTCCAGGCAGGAAAATCCGTGAAACTCTTAATCTCCAATAAACCACCAGAAAACCGGAAGTGTCACTGTAGCTCAAGTGGTAGAGTGCTAGCCTTGAGCTGAAGAGCTGAGGGACAGCACTCAGGCCCAGAGTTCAAGCCCCACGACTGCCACCCACCCCCCCCCCCAAAAAAAAATAGGTATCTCAACTGAAATACAATTAAGATAGGGCCAGCAATAGCACATATCTGCAATTCTAGCTACTCGGGAGAGGCAGAATCAGAATGATCACAGTTTAAGGTCAGATCAGGCAAAAGTTAAGATCCTTGTATCTCAACCAAACTGGTTAAAAAAAAGCCTGTCATCAAAGCTACACAGGAGGCATAGGTAGAAAGATCCTGGTTCAAAATGGCCTTTGGCAAAGAAGACCCTATCTAAAAATAAAGAGAAAAAAAGCTACAGGTATAGTTCAAGCAGTAGAGTGCTTTGCCTAGAAAGCACAAGGCCCTGAGTTCAAAGTTTAGTACTGCCCAGAACAAAATAAAGGTAGATGGAAAACAGCTCTCTGAAATAGTAAGGAGAGGCAAAAGAAAAATGTCCCCACTCTCCTCCACAGGGCAAACTGCCTTGTGCTCAAAGTCAAGCAGCTCTGGTGTGTGTCTGATGGACAACCCACTGCTACATTAAAATAACCTCTCTTGGTCAAACCTGATCCAGGAGACATATGCACTATTATAATAACAGTGTGCTACCATCTAAAGCACTCCCCGAGATCTTTTACAAACACTACTGTTTTATTTATCCATCTAGTCTCCCTATAATTCCTAAATAATCTCCCTTTCTTTCTTGAAATTCCAATTACACATACTGTCGAGACACTTAGCACAAACTGTTTCCCAGATTTAATGTTCTCTTTTCTCCACTTCAGCTCTTCCTGTTTTAAAGATTTAATTGATGGCTTTGACAGCCCAGGGTTGGGTATTCTTTGTCTGGAATCCCCACTGTCACCATCACATATTCTCACCAACTCCATGGATCAGTTGTATGTCTTTTGCTTCTGCATCCTCAGTGACAATCAGATGTGTATGATCCTCAAAAACATTTTTAGAAAGTCTAGCTCCAACTCTTATATGTACTAAGTAGCTGAGCTCCAGTTTCTTCATAAAATTAAAAACATGGACAAAAGGAAAACTAGAGTAGGGCAAAACAGGTTAGGAGCTTGCATTTATTCCAAACCTGACCCAACTTTGCCACTTACAGGTAATCTTGGGCTAGAATATCTAAAATGTCCTGCCTGCTTAGTTTACAAAATCAAAGATGTATTCGTTCATTCCATAGAAGTGTATATAGAGCCTGCACATGGAAGTGGCACCAGGGTTTAAAAAGGAATGGTTGATACCAGGCTACAGTCGTTCACATTTGTAATCCTTGCTACTCAGGAAGCTAAAATCTGAGGATTGTGGTTTGAAGCAGTCTGGGCAGCAAAAGCCCAGGAGACTCTTTAACTAATTAGCTACCAAAAAAGCCAGAAGTAGAGCTAGAGTTCAAATGGTAGAGCAGAAAAGCTTCAGGGTCAGTGCACAGGCCCTGAGTTCAAGCCCCAGCACACACACACACGTGTGCGCATGAGAATTATTGAGTAGCAAGGGCCAGTAATCCCAGCACTCAGAAGATAGAAAAGCAGATCAAGATTGGCCTGGGCTACATGAGATGCTGTATCAAAAACAAACAAAAAAGGAATGGTTTTATAGTTAGAAGTGTAGGCTATAGCTAGAGAAAAAGAGCTAAAGAACAGGTAAAAGTCAGAGGCATTAAATACTATCAGTTCTTATTCCCAATATCCCAAATGTGCCAAATTGCTTGAATTTCATGTTTTATACTTTGTGTATAAACAGTGTGACATTTCCTAATGCTATACATACACATCTGGCCTCTCAAAAGAAAAATGAATTAGGATGGGATGTAGTTTAGCTATAAGGCCACGGGGTTTCCATCCACAGAACCTCACTGACACCATATAAAACCAAAAGCCTTTATAGTGGCTAGGTAGCCTATGCCAGGTATAGCCACCTGTGTCCTTTGAAATCTGGTGATATCATACAAATTTATATGCTCATTTAGTACTTCATCTTTTTTATGCCAAGAAAGCAATCAAGTGAAATTATGTGATAAATGCTATTTAAAAAAAAAAAAAAAAAAAAGACTAGGCCTTAGGCCTACAACAGAGGTTAGCATACTACAGCCTAAAGGGCAAATGAAGTGGCCTCTTTTTTTTTCATAGTCCTTGAATGGCTCTTACTCATTTTTAAACCACTGGCAGCAGGGAGGGGGAGAGTGAAGAAAATAGGTTGGTGGGTTGGGGAAAACTGGAAAAATACTTCATACATGGAAATTCTGCTCAAATAGCCACAGCCATTTGTTTCCATATTGTTTACTCCCCGCACCCCAACCTCCAGCAACATAGTTCATTTGTTGCAGTTTTATGTCCTGCACAGCCAGGAGCTGATGGCTCCTATCAGTCATCCTACTGAGGAGGTTAAGAGCTGAAGGACCTCAGTTCAAAGCCAGCTAA